CCCCTGCCTCTATCTCGACCTCGGCCTCGACGACCCCGACCCCAGATTCCGGACCCAACCCCGACCCTGGCCCTCGACCCCAACCCCGGCCCCCGGCCTCGATCCCGACCCCGGACCCCCCGGCGCGCGTGCCACCCGGCCTTGGGGAGCGGAGCTGGAGCCCAGCAGGCCCGCACCTGCCCATCCAACCCCGCCTCCCGCGTCCGGTCCCTGCCGGCCGCCTGCAGCCCCAGCCCGGCATCTCGAGTACCGGGGGTGATCGGCATCACTCAGGAAAAAGTTGCAGAGATGAGTCTGTGGCACAGTATGTTTTTAATTGTCTGTCTGTCTGTACTGGGACTTGAACTCAGAGCCTGGCACTCTTGCTTGGCATTTTCATTCAAGGCTGCCACTGTACATGAGCCATACCACCACTTCAGGCTTTTTGCTGGTAAATTGAAGATAAGCGTCTCACAGATTTGTCTGCCCCTGACTAGCTTCGAACCTTGATCCTCAGATCTTAGCCTCCTGAGCTGCTAGGATGTTGTATGAGTAGTCTATACATTTAAAAAGGTGAGTGCCACAAGCATCCCAAGGTCCAGAAAAAACCATCATTATGAATTAACAAGTGTGCACATCTCTTCCACTTATTTGCTGTTGTGGGCTGTGTTCTCTGATTGCCTCCTTTTGATTTGGGGGAAATTGTTTTCTGAAAAGGATGGAAAGAGTATGCAGACATTTCTCTAGTGTACTTGATCAAATTTATATCTAATTGCCAGTATCAACATTGCCTTGGGGAAAACCCAAGGTTCTTACAGATAAGATCCCTGTACACAATGTTACTGGCTTGTTCCACAAACACCGGGATCCTGGTAAATGTAATCCCATCCTAGAAGGAAGAAAGATGTGGGGAGTTTTGTGTTGTGTGTCTTGCAGTACTAAATAAAAGGTTTAGAAAGCAACTTTGGTTTGATTTGGTTTGGGGCTTTTTTTTGTTTTGTTTGTTTTTGGGTTTTTTTTTGTCGCTCCTGGGGCTGGAACTCCGGGCTAAGGCTCTATCCGTGGGCTCTTCAGCTCAAGGCAAGCGCTCTACTGCTTGAGCCACAGCACCACTTCTGGTTTTTTAGTGGTTTATTGGAGATGAGTCTCACGGACTTTTCTGCCTGGGCTGGCTTTGAACCGTGATCCTCAGATCTCAGCCTCCTGAGCAGATAGGATGACAGGCGTGAGCCACTGTCACCCGGCTTGGTTTGGGTTTTTGAGACAGGGTCTCACTA